TGTATCATGTTCTACCACCATTTGGCCCACTAAACCTGTACTTTAATTTTTCTGTGAGGACCCTCTTCTTTTTTTTTTTGGAGAGGTTTTTGCTATAGGGCACGTACATGCACCAGAGAGACAGGAAGCAAGAAATCCCCCCACCCCCACCCCAGGGAGGATGGCCACACCACAATCCCTTCTCCTCCATTCTCCTCTTGGGATCTTGGACACACACCTGGCATAAGTTTAAGCCACTGGTTCCAGGACTCGAACCACGGTCGACTACATGGGAGTCCAGTGACATAGCCATTACGCTAACTACTGTTCATGTATATCTTTTTTGATGTCTCTTTCACCTTTCTGTTTATTGAATGATTACTCTGTTCCAGGTACTACACAAAGCACTTCATAGTCCTTATTTCATAGTTGAATGGTACTATTACTGTTTAAGGAGAAAATTGAGGGGTAGAAAGTTTAAATAACTTGTTCTAAAATCACACAGCTCTTCAGTTGTCCAGCTAGGCTTCAGCATATACTCAGTGACTAGTGAGAAATGATTTAGGTTTAGAAAGCTGTATCAGTGTGAAACTCAGGTGAGCATTGTAAAAAAACAAGAGGCTGTAAAGTCAATTAATTTTCATAGTTGGATGCCTCTATATCAAGATGATCTTAGCCTTTCCTTTAAACCGTAATACCACGTAGCATTACTTTCACAGGCATGCATGTAAAGGGAAGGGAATGCAAGAAGAAGTAAAATGAATATTGTTTTCCTTATATAGAGACACTATTTAAATGTTCGAGGAGAAAAGTTACAGAAATTGCAGTAAGTGTCCAACTCCAATGGTAATATCTCAGAATTATAAATTAATAAACATTTTCATTAAGGAAAGCCCATATTAATTCAGACTTAATGAAGTAAACGGTCGACTACATGGGAGTCCAGTGACATAGCCATTACGCTAACTACTGTTCATGTATATCTTTTTTGATGTCTCTTTCACCTTTCTGTTTATTGAATGATTACTCTGTTCCAGGTACTACACAAAGCACTTCATAGTCCTTATTTCATAGTTGAATGGTACTATTACTGTTTAAGGAGAAAATTGAGGGGTAGAAAGTTTAAATAACTTGTTCTAAAATCACACAGCTCTTCAGTTGTCCAGCTAGGCTTCAGCATATACTCAGTGACTAGTGAGAAATGATTTAGGTTTAGAAAGCTGTATCAGTGTGAAACTCAGGTGAGCATTGTAAAAAAACAAGAGGCTGTAAAGTCAATTAATTTTCATAGTTGGATGCCTCTATATCAAGATGATCTTAGCCTTTCCTTTAAACCGTAATACCACGTAGCATTACTTTCACAGGCATGCATGTAAAGGGAAGGGAATGCAAGAAGAAGTAAAATGAATATTGTTTTCCTTATATAGAGACACTATTTAAATGTTCGAGGAGAAAAGTTACAGAAATTGCAGTAAGTGTCCAACTCCAATGGTAATATCTCAGAATTATAAATTAATAAACATTTTCATTAAGGAAAGCCCATATTAATTCAGACTTAATGAAGTAAGATAAATTTATAGAATAACTGGGAGTAAATTAAACATGTATCAATACTTGGTAACCTGTGTTGTGTTGTTTCCGGGTTGTTCTTTACATCATTCCTTCTCAGCCACCTCTTGGTCTCTAGTTCCTGCTTTACCCGGCCAGAGGATCAGTGCGTCTGACCCTCTATGACTGGATTAAAGAGTTTAGGGTTACAGTTTTGTTTAGTCAGTAAGCCAGGTGGTCTGTTGAACCTACTATTTAGTATAGAGGTTGTAGGAATTCGTGTGTGTGTGTGTGTGTGTGTGTGTGTGTGTGTGTTTTGGGTTTTATGTCCCCCCCCCCCCCGCATACTTTCTCTCCCTTTGGAAAAAAAAGGATTCTTTTTCAGCCAGAGCATGTGTACTTCAATTTTAAGTAGAACTCATTGCACCGGGCAAAGTTTTTATGGGTTTGGTTTTTTGTTTTTGTTGTTGTTGTTGTTTTGGATGCAAAATAGAATTCAAATAAGAGTTTATTTTCCATGAACCTTTTTTTTTTAATATAATTTCTTATTCACATTTAATTGTTGTACAGCTCTATAGCACACAATATGGTTTTTCAGGGTACACATGCAGTATGTGACAAATCAAGTATCTTAACATATATATCGTTTTCACACATTGATCGTTTACATTCTTAAGTCCATGAGTGTTTCTTCCCTGAGCCCCTTTCACTCATCCTTTTCATTCCACCCTTTCCCCTACAGCCTCTAGAATCTACACTTGTCTTTCCCAGCGTTGTATCTTTGCCTTACTGTACTTTTTTTTTATCTTCTAAGGAAAAGGCCTTTTGTTTGTTTTTGTTGTTATTTTAATGAGTGGTTATAGTGCTATGACTTCAGATATCATAAATATTTGTAGCCAAATTAATTAGGTATTATATTTTTACTCATTAAGAGATTTGGGAAAAAAAATCGGAGAAAGATATGAAATCATTAAATTACTAGTCCAAGAAGCTTGAATGTCTGTGTCAATTTTATTATTCCTAAAGTCTATATGCTTGCCTAAAATGCTAGTACTTTTTTATTATTATCATACAAGCAAGCTTTGAGTTTATCCAAGGAAGGGGAGATTAGTTCCAGCCATGTCATAAGCTCACAGACTGTAGAGAAAGAACCTGCAAATTGGAGCTGAGTAGAATTTTGCCAAAGAGCAAATTAATGTAAATGGGCTAGCAGCCTGTAGGTGCGGTATTTCCTCACTGAGCCTTGCCTGGTGCCAGCCAGTGCAGTTAATGACCTCCATCGCCGTTGGTGCGGATGTGCTGGTGTGCGTGCTCATGCTGGTATACGTGTTGATGCAGCGGTCCAGTAGAGACACTCCCGGTGATGGGTACCTCCCTCCAGTCCTGGGAAGACCAGAATAACAGTGAAAATGAGTGAGATACTGTGGATGATGCTCATGCATTGGCTCTAGGTGTCATCCAGAACATAGGAATAGAATAAGCATAGATTTGTGAGGAGCATTACAGTTCTTAAGTAGCTCGATGGTCTCCCAGGCTTTCTCTGGGATGTTGCTTTTAATGCAGCCTGTGCTTGAATCATGAAAATGAATTTTTTCCTGAGAAAGGCTTGATGGAATCTATTTTCTAGACAGAAATTGATGAGAGGCTATTGATGCACAGAATTTGGAAGATTACTGAGAGAAAAACTCCCTATAAGCAGAACATGTCTAAGAAAGGCTAGCAGTCGTGACTAAAGTATTAGACACAAAGTCTCACGAATTATTGGAAAAGGCTTTAGAGAATAGGTTCTACATAGGTGTCCTATACCCTGTCCTGCCACCTGGTCGTGTGCCTTACTGAGGAGTTAATACGACTCCCTGACATGGGTAATATGAACCTAATGCATGGACTCTGGCACCAAATGTCTTCACTTAGGTACATGACAACAAGATCAGAAGCAGTCATAGATGTTATAAAGGAAATTAAATTAATTAAAAACACCATTCCATTAAAAGATATTCATACTTTTTCACCCTAAAGTCAAGTTAAATTTATATAAGGATAAAGAGAATAAAGAATAATGATAATCTGAAAAAAATGATGAAAAGCTATTTGATGATGATGATGATGTGGATAATAATGTCTTTGTCTTGACTGATATGCATGGTAATCGTGCTAGAAAAAGAAATGTAATACACCATAGAGATATATGCGATTAAATATATTAAAATGATGATAGTATTAAAATTAAATTTAAAAAATCTTAAAAAGTAAAAATGTATATAAGGGAAGATTGTTTTGTGGGCAGGAAATGAAAAATTTAGAAAGTAAGCTTAGTTTTCATAGCATGGCTATAGAAATGATAACTGAACAGCTAATCCTTTGTATGTGTTCTGCTTATCCTTGGGTCTTTTATGTTTTGATCCAGTTAAACTCAGAGTAGAAAGATCAGGATCAGATGTTGCATTCAATCAGGACACTGGGTACTCATCACAGTACTTGGGAGATCTACATCTCCCTTCAGGCCTACAGAAACAAAAACTTACGGTATACTCTTTAGTGTTGCCAGCCTTTGACATCCAAGAGCAATATGACTCCTAGGGGAATGGATCTTGGAAGTTGCCCATTCCAGTGAAGCCAGCCCCCTTACTCAGGTTAACATGAAATTTAGGGACAAAAGTTGGCCAACAGGACATTCCCACCACTGTGTGTGATGACAAGGATCAACCTGATTGGCCACTGAAACAGCAGTCTACTGCCTGCCCAGGACAGAGGGCCATAGTGGACATGATTAGGTGCCCAGTTAAACATTAACAGATGCTCTGAAATTATAATGAACCTTTAAAAGGACCGTAAAATGGCTGCAGTGTTCAAAGGATGAAGGGGATAGGGGTTAGTTGAGAAGTTGTATGTATTTCCAAAGAATTAAGCAAAAGTTAACCTCTTCGTCCCAAGATTTTTGACTAGAAAGATGTTTTCTCGAATTGAACAAGTGAATTGGTACTGCAGTCCCCAGTTCTTCGCTGGTTGTCAGTCTTGCAGCTCTGTGAATAACGAAGAGTGACTAGATCTAGGGGAAAAGCAGCTGAGCACAAGTGCAGTTACTTCCACCTGTCAGCACTGGCCCACTTCACTTCCACTGCTTCCATCCGGTCACCCACCTCAGCAGATGGCATAGCATCACATGGTTCAGAATTCTTAGCAGGTTTTCCCAGCTGTGCACTGTTCATTTATTTTTCAAGTGAGCTAGGCTCCCCCTGAGCAGTCATGTACTGTTCATCCCACTGTAGCAAGAACTTTAAGAGAAACGGTCTCTGGCTCCGCGTTTCTGTAACATATTTGAAGACACTGTCTTCCCTCTACCAGAACCATACCTAGGCAGGAATTTAGCTCCAAGCAGAAAGGAATTCAGATTTCATAGTATTAGCCATATTTAAAGCAGCATTCCAGATAATGACAGTCTGTATCTGCAGCAATGTGCTTGTTTTCTCTAGGGTGTTACAGCATCGCTCATGCTCTCTCTGGGGATTTTGGATTGCAGATGCTAATGCTGGAGATCGTGGGCAGACCAACAATGCCGCTTCTGCATCAGCTTCCAATTCCACCTGAAAAGCCCCGAGCAGCCAGCTGCACAGGAGAAACCACCGGTTACTTGAGTGTCGCTCAGCAACACTGGTCACGTTTGGAAAGAAAATTAAAAAGAGAAAAAAGAAACAAAACCTGTTCATTTTAGTGTTCAATTTTTTTATTATTGTTGTTGTTCTTATTTAACCTTGTAAAATATCTATAAATACAAACCAATTTCATTGTATTCTCACTTCGAGGGAGACCCAGGGGGTGGGAGGGGTTGTGGGGAGGGGGAAAGCGGAGCACTAAAACACACAATCTCTCTCCCACGACAATCTTTTTTTATCAAAAGTCTGCTGTTGTATACTTAAAAACAGGATTCCTGCCTCATGCCCCTTCCACAAAAGAAGAAAACCTTGTTCTGTGCTGAAGTTTTAATTTGAACTTTGTTTTCTTTTAAAGTCTAGTGTCAGACTTTGATATAATGCACAGCTTGAAATTGGTTGGGAGCTTAGCAGGTATAACTCAATGGGGACTTAAATGTCACTTGTAAAATTAATCCATATCCTTGGGTATTTGAAGACTTGCCTTTGGCATGTTGGTGGCAGATGTGGCAGACCAAAAAAAAGAAGTGTATCACCCGTAACCCAGAGAAGTCAGTAAAGTCTGGGAACTGTAAGAGGAAGATTCTTAATTGACATGTTAAGGTTTCATTAGGTCTTGCTCTTAAATCAGTGCTAGTGGCAAAGGAGCCCGTGTGGGAGGCTGCCAGGAGGAGCAGCAGGCAGAGCTGCGGCATGTGCACCACGGTAGATCTGTGTTTGCCTGACCAAAAGTTCTCTGCAAATCTTAGTACAATTTAAGGTAGCGACCTAGGAGGAGACTGCGAAGTGTTGAGCAGGACACTCTGGCTGTGAAGGTCGAAGGCCAGAGAGCCGAGAGGAAGGGGACAGGCCGGGGGCACATCTGACCACTGTGAATGAATTTGTCCAGCAGTTTTTTCTAAAATCGCTTCCCTTGGAAAGATACACTTGAGAGGACATTATAGTTAAATAATGTGAACTGTAGCCGTCTACTGGTTTGTTTTTTATGTTTTGTAATTGAAAATTGAGCTTGTAGAAATTGCCACATTCTTACATGTAGTTCTGATTTTAAATCCAAATCTAGAATCTGTATTTAATTTCAGCTTTTTAAAAATTCATGCTTTTTACATTTATTTATTGATGCATGTCAGATAAACCATTATGATTTTAGATGGCAGGAATATTAAAAACTACACATCGATATAAACAGCCACTTGTACCTGCTGACTTTTTAGGAAAGCCGATTATATAAATGTGTGTATATATGTCATATATACATATATTCAATACTGCCTTTTTTCTTTCTTCCTTTTTTTTTTTGGCCTAGAGTATCAAAATTGACTGGTTGAAGCATGAGAAGAATGTTCCCCCTACATCCAGTTAAGAGTTCTCGTTTCTGTTTTCTTTGTGTATCAGTGAATGGTGTAAGACTCAGTCTCTGTTCTGAAGAAAAAGCAATATTCCTTGGAAAACAAGGAGGATTGAAGGGTTATGTTTGGAGTGAGGAAATAGATTCTTACAACTAGTTTGTTTTATACTGTAAGGTTGGTATCTGTGTGGGCCTTATATACTCTAAAATGAAACTTAGTCACCTTGGTGCTTATGGGCCATTACTTGACCTATGAATCTTTAAGGCACAATCAGTTGTACTTTACATTTAAAGATCACGTGAGTGATGGCCGCCTTTCCCTCCTATCCGCTCCTTGTCCACACACCATCTAAGGTTAGCTGATAACGTGTAGGGCGGCAGAGCTGAGCCCTAGGTTGTGTGCAGCCTCCCTTCATTCTCCTCATTGCCACCTTGGGCCATGGTAGGGGTCTCGCCCTCCTGGTGGTTTGGAAGTGGAGTCTCTCGGCAGCCCTCACACAGGCCCCTAGTACCTTGTTCTGCTTCTCAACTGTGTGCGAGGCTCTCCGCGTCGCACTGCCTGCTGAAGTGAACCAGTACCCAGAAAGACGACCGTGAGCCATCTTCGTTTTCATTCACTGTTCAACTAAGCGCTTAGGCTACAAAAGGGGTTTCTCCAACCTCTGGTTATAGCAGAGTTCATGAGAAAGGAAGCGTGCTCAGTCAAACCAAATCAAACCAATTGGGTTTTGCATTTTGAGAGATGATGAAGATTCGAAAGAAATCTGAAATCAAAGTATTTGGCAGCATAATTCCTTAAAGGGAATGGCTTTAATAGACCATTTTCAGGAAGGATTTATGAAGAATCTGAACAGGCAGGTCTATGACAGAGCCGTGGACCTACTTTCAGATCAGACTGCCCAGCCAAACATTTAGATACAGACACTGCTCTGGACTTGGTATACTTGCTAGAGTCCATAAAAATCAGTGCTTGTTTTAGGAAACGACCCCCCCCCAGGAAAAAAAGGGGTAAGAAAAGAAGAAAAGTTAGATGCTTTTCTTTCATTTCAGTGTGTGTGTGCGTGTGTGTGTGTGCGCGTGTGTGTGCACGCGTGCATGTGTGCGTGTGTAGGCTGAGGTGCATGATTTTTCTTTCTCAAAGATCATGGCAGGATCACAGAACTCTTTTATACAAGTGAGATCCAGGTCTCTGAATATCTTTTTGTAAATAATAATAATAATAATAAAAAGCTCCTCACCAAATTCAAGCCTGTACATTATATTTTCTTTCAATGTTTTTAAATTTAAGTTTTATTGTTTTGTATGTAAATATGTGGACCCAGGAACTGTTATTAATGAGCAAAAAGTTACTGTTCAGGGCAGTGATTCTGTTTAATATAATCAGACAAAATGTAGACGAGCTTTTTAAAGCCATATAGTTTTAACTCTGTACAGTAGGTACCGGCCTGTATTATTGTAACAATAACTCTAGCAATGTATAGTGTATCTATATAGTTTGGAGTGCCTTCGCTTCCATGTGTTCGGTTTTTTGTTTGTTTTCATTTTTTCAGTTTGAATTGGTTTCCTTTATCCATGTCTCCCTGTCCATCTCCTTTCCTTTCGAAATAACAACTTACTCATAACGATATCTTTGTCCCTTCCACAGTTAAGTTTCAATGATACCATGCTCAGGAGTGGGAAGAGGAAACCATGCCCATAATCTCATTTCATTCGAGCCCTGCCTTTGTTTTACTTCTGAACATGTGTCTCCTCCTCAGTAGCAGTGACGGGTTTCATTTCATGCTTAGTCCCTTCAGGGACTTAGTGTAGCACCCAGGAGCCCTAGAGCTGGAGGAAATCAAATAGATTAGATTTTGCTCGTCTCTTCCACAAGCCCTAACCATGGGTCTTACAGCAGATTCGGGGAGCCTTCCATGTTCTCTCTCTCCTTACCTACTTCCCTCCCAGATGAGAGAGAGAATTGGTTTTTTATAAATCGAAGTTTCTAGTAGTATCGGGTTTTGATACGTCAGTGGTCTAAAATGCTGTAGTGCAATTACTAGCAGTTACTGCACGGGTGCTGCCGTGCTGATAGAGGGCTGTTGTTTTAACAAGGGAACTCTTAGCCCATTCCCTCCCTCCTGCCATCGCTATCTACCCCTGTTCAATGAAATGTCATTTCATGTTTTTAAACCAGTTCAGTTCTTACTGTGTGCCCAACATGAAGGCTTTTTGTGAATGAAAAAAAAAAAAGTATTTGTTTTGCCTCCAACTACTCCATCTAAGATGTCTTGAATAGAAGGAAAAACAAACTACCAAACCAAAGGTTGCTATTTTTGAAACATCATTTGTTCATTCCAGCGAGGCAGAAGACTGCACCTTTTTTTCCAGTGACGTGTCGTTTTCAGAAGTCCTCTTAATTTTTAGACACATCTTTTGGGTTTGTGTTTTAGTGAAGTATGCCTAACCAGCCATCTTGTCTGCATCAATGCAAAGGTTTCTGAGAGGACTGTTGTATTCTTCATCCCTGTGGATAAAAGACACTGGCATTTCATTTATTTTTCCCTTTCCTTTTTAAAGGATTTAACTTTGGAATCTTCCAAAGAAAGGTTGGCCAATGCCAGATCCCCAGGAGTTTGGGGTTTTTTTTTTCTTTCTTTTAAACCAAAATTGTATCTGATTCCTGTTGCTCACGTTTGTTGGTGTCAGTGAGCATCTGATCACAGAGCCACTTTTCTCTCACATAGAAAAGTAAACCAAGCATGCTTTACAAACAATCTGTTTCTGGTAGAAACCTGAGCCACTGAAAACAAGAAAGACAACTAGAAGCACAGTAGAGTCCCAGCCATAGGTCTAGCTTTGAGAGGCTTTGAAAGTAATCCTGGGGGTTGGATTATTTTCACAAGGGTTACGCCGTTTTATTCAAGTTTCTCGCTCCGTTTTGCACCTCTGCAATAAAAGCAAAATGACAACCAGTACATAAGGGGTTAGCTTGACAAAGTAGACTTCCTTGTGTTCATTTTAAGTATTTTTTTTCTTACTATATCTGTCTACAGGCAGATACAGATAGATGTATGAAAATGTGCTTGCCTGTAAAATTTGCATTTATAAATGTGTTGCCGATGGATCACTTGGGCCTGTACACATACCAATTAGCGTGACCACTTCCATCTTAAAAACAAATCTAAAAAGCAAAATTTATTATTATTATTATATATATATATATATAAAGGACTGTGGGTTGTATACAAGCTATTGCAAACACTTGTGCAAATCTGTCTTGATATAAAGGAAAAACAAAATCTGTATAACATTATTACTACTTGAATGCCTCTGTGACTGATTTTTTTTTCATTTTAAATATAAACTTTTTTGTGAAAAGTATGCTCAATGTTTTTTTTTTTTTTTTCCCTTTCCCCCATTCCCTTGTAAATACATTTCGTTCTATGTGACTTGGTTTGGAAATAGTTAACTGGTACTGTAATTTGCATTAAATAAAAAGTAGGTTAGCCTGGAAATGAAATTAAAATTCACAAGTGTGTGGTCTTTATTTCAGTCCCCAGCCCTCCTTCACCCTACCTGTTTTGCCACTGCAATAAGTAGTCACATAACCATCTCTGTTCCTCCAGTTAGGGAAAACGAATCTTTGTTATAAAAATCAAGATATGAACACCACGTCTCATCTTTCAAATGATCTTATTCCATTGGATAGTCCCAAGAAGTGCAGCTTCCATCTTGGAAACCTTTGGATTTGAAGTAGAGGAAGATTTGCAGACACTGCTCTGAAAAGAAAATCATCCCTGAAAGGGACAATTTTTAAAACGTGTATAAGCTGCTGTCTTTGGTTACTGTGTTCATGATTTGGTGTAGCTGTATTTTCTTTTTAACTTTCATCCTACTAGCCATGGTCTTCGGGGGTCTCTGTAAAACATGAACACCACAAACAGTGGGGCTGTACCTCCCAGGTAACCAACACAAGCTGTGTTTGAGTCTGCTCATTTCCAGTACTGGACGATGTATGTAAACTTGTTATGTCTCTTAGTGCAAAAAGAAACATCATTTTTTTAGGGCTGGCTCACTCTGTCAGGCCTAATTGAAAGGCTAGATATAAGGTCATGTGACTGCTGCTTCAATAAAAACAAATTTATATTCGATAAAGTCTGGTCCTCCTTATTTACTGTGGTGGTAGGGTTGGCTAGTTCTAACATTTGTAAAATAGTTAAATACATTTACCTGGGGGAGTGTTGGGTGGGAGGCGGGTTGGATCAGTGAAAACACAGAAGATATTACTTGTGGGGTGGCCTGGTGGCAGCAAAGTCCATTTGTTGGGCTTCGTTGCTTTCTTGTTTAGGTCCAGATTTCATTTTTTGAATTAGGATTGAGTTAAGACAATGCTAAGTGTCCTGCAAGATACCCTTTTTCACGTAAAATCCTAAAAGTCGACCAGTGGGACCAGCAGATGGCATAATGGTTACATCGCTGGACTCCCACATCGTCAACCGCAGTTTTAGTCCCAGACCCAGTGGCTTAAAATTCAGCTGGGTGCTTGTGCGTGGTGCCCAAACTCCCAAGAGGAGAACGGAGAAGTTGCTGTGTGGTCATCCCCCCTGGGGGCTGATTTCTTGCTTTCTGTCTTTGTCTCTCCAGTGAGTGCACACACCCTATAGCAAAAATCTCTCTTAAACTAAAAGACAACCTGTTTAGCTGCTAAGTCCTTCCAGAGAATACCAGCCAAATAGACCTTTGGAGTCATGTTTCAGGAGAGCTTTGATAATGGATGCCATTTTGGAAGGTGTTCTCAAAAGAGAATGAAGAGAGATTAGGCTGCAGGTCCTCATGGAGAAGCTTCTGATGGGGAGTGAACAAAAGCGATGGGGGGGGTCAGCCATTTCTCAGGTGAAGGGACATCTCACTCCATCAGCACCCTCAGATCTAGGAGAGCTGTCGGTCACAGGGAAGTGACACGCAAGAGCAGTGACCTGCCCTGAGGGTGACACGGCGGGGCTCAAAGGTGTCTGGAGCTAGGAAGGCATAACCAGTATTTCTCTTCTCCAGAGAGATGGCCTTCCCACAGGGTTTGTTGTTGATGGCAAGACTAATGAAGCTCTGAGGGAGGAGTCAGAAAGCATATGCAGTAACTGAGAGCGTTCACCCCAAGCTTTGGAGATGACTCTCCCCTGACTGAGCCAGGACCTAGAAAAACAACAGTGGCTAGAGGTCCCTAGAAACTGATGGGAAGGAAGGGGAGTAAGAGGGACTCCTAATTTTGAAAGGACAGTTGAATCTGGCTCCTAGTGCCATAAACTTGAGACCCACAAGCTGCTGAAAGGAAGGACCCAGTGTGAGCCCTCTGGTGTATGTAACCTTGGCTCTACTCCTGGGGTTCACTAATCCATGTAAGTCACGCTCAGTCTTTAGGGAACTGCTTGAGTGTTTTTAAAATTAACATTAGGAGGTGGAAATTCAGTCTACGTCCCTTCTTGATCTCACCTTAACCTTGCTTTATGATAAGCCTATATGTAAGTTCCAGGCTCTGGAAAAAAGAGCACACTGAAAATCATTTCCGGAGGAAAGAGCCACATATGATTTATAGATACATTAGTATGGACTTTATATTTCCAAGTTAGTATGTATATTTCTAATTATAAATGAGTTTGAACTTAGACAAAAGACATAGAAGGAAAAGCTGTATTCACTGACTTTGGAGACAGGAGTTCTTTTTCCCTTTTTCTTCTCTAATGACAAGTACTCATTGATCCCGAAAAGGAAGTAAATCTGGGAGGAAGGCAGGGAATAGGTTTACTGGCTTTGATTTTCTTTTCTTAAGAATGATTTATTTGGGGCCAGCCGATGGCACAGCAGTTACATCACTAGACTCCTACATGGCTGACTGCAGTTCAAGTCCTAGATCCAGTAGCTTGAAACTCACACCGGGTGCATATGCATGCGTGCCCAAGATTCCAGGAGGAAAATGAAGAGATTATGACCTAGCCATCCTCCGGGGGGGTGGGGTGGGGTGACTTCTCGTCTTTCCCTCTCACTGTCTCTGTCTCTCTGGCAAGCACACATGCTATAAGGCAAAAAACTCTTAAAAATTATTTTTAGTATGTATTGCTATTGAATTATAAATAGTATGTATTACTATTATTGCTCTAGGACACACACACTCACCAGAGACAGAAAGAGAAAGTGAGAAAGCAAGTTCCCAGGTCCAGGACTCGAACTGCAGTCAGCCATGTGGGAGTCCAGCATCTTTTTTTTTTCCACTTTATTTATTTGCATTCATTCACTGTACATCATTACAGCATACAAAATGAGATTTTCCATGCAGAGTATACTGTATATTGTCTCAATCAAGCACATCAACAAACATGTTATTCTTAGCAAATGATCTTCCATTTCTTGCTTTCTGTATGTTTTGCTTTTTTTCCCCCATCCTTGGTTCCCTCTCTCTTACCCTCTGCCACCTCCTGTTCTCCTCCCACACTGTCTCTGGTATCTATGTTTGCTTTCTATACCATTTTCCCCCCACATTTTATTGAATCACCAAAGACCCTAATCAATCCAAATACCCTCCTAGCAAACACAGGTGACACACACATTTCCATGAACACAAGTCTGACTTTACGAATCCTATAAAGTAGCACCTAACTGGGGCTACATATCCTACTGCAGTCATTGAATAGATATATATTTTTTTCCTGAAACTTTTTTTTGTAACTCTATTTACATTCCTTCCCTAAGCATCATCACAGTACACAAAATGCGATCTCCCATCCAGTACACACTGCATAGTGACTCAGTCATGCACATTACAAAAAAAATTCCAATTCTAGTTCCTAGAATTATTTCCACCCCTCTTTCTGACCCTCTGTCCCTTCCCACCCTCCTCTCACACCACCTCCAGTGTCCAAAATTGTCCTCCATTCCCTTCCCACCCACATTGCATTGATCACACTATTTCCTACATAACCTAACTACTTTCAAAGGTGAGTTCACTCGTTACTACTAAGAAAACCAGTTTTAACTTAAATCAAAGAACCGCCAAGGAACTTTGCTTAAAGCCAGGAAACAGGTTAGGATTCTGTTCAAATGGTAGGTGCATGAACCTATCAGTCTCATATACTTTTATCTTCTGTTCTGGTTCAATTTTCCTGATTAAATTCTGGGATATAGTATTCAACTCCAGACTTGTCCCTATGATTAAGTTAGCTACTTTCTCAGTTTTTGGACTCTTATTTCCATGTATCTGCGTTTAGTTTTCCTGATACAGCACATCCTTGAGAACTTCTTGGAGGTCTGGTCTGGTGCTGGTAAATTCTTTCAGGTTTTGTTTATCTGAGAATGTTCTTGTCTTTTCTTCCCACCTGAAAGATAATCTTGCCGGATACAGTATTCTTGGCTGAAACTGCTTCTCTCTTAACACTTGGAATATATTTTCCCATTCTCTCCTCGCTTTTATTGTTTCTGATGAGAGATCTGCTGTTAGCCTGATGGGATGTCCTTTGTAGGTAACTTGATGTTTTTCTCTTGCTAATCTTAGTATCTTGTCTTTGTCTGCAGTTTTGGTCAACCTGGCTATAATGTGTCTTGGAGAAGATCTTCTAGGGTTGATTCTATTTGGGGTCCGTTGTATTTCCTGGGACTGGATCTTTGAATGCCTCTCTAGGTTTGGAAAGTTTTCTTGCAGGATTTCCTGGAATAGATTATCAATGCCCTTATGGGTTTCCTCACCTTCTGGAATGCCAATTATCCGGATATTTGGACGTTTGATGGTATCCAGTACTTCTCGCATATTATTCTCAAATTTTTGTGCCATTTTCTCAGCCTTCATGGTGGATTTTTCTAGGCCAGCCATTTTCTCCTCTACATCTGAGATTCTATTTTCTGAATGATCTAGTCTGCTTTTAATGCTTTCCAGGGAGATTTTGACTTCTTGTATTATAGACTTCATCTCTAGCAGTTCGGTTTGAGTCTTTTGTAAAGTGTGTAATTCCACTTTTAGATCTTGCAGGAATTTCCTCATCTCTTGGAACTCGTCAATCTCTTTCTCCTTTCTCTTTAGTAGTTCATTATCTCTCTTCTCTTCCATCTCTGTTAGCTTAGACATTATGAATGATCTGAATTCCTTATCAGACATTTCCATGATTTTCACCGAACTGCTTGTGGATGAAGAGTTACTCTTTTCCCTAGGAGGAGAGGTATTTTCTTGTTTTCCCATGTTTCTCGTGATCCGGCGGTGATTTCTTGTCATCTGATGAATGTTGTGTTTTCTTTCAAATTCTGGAGGTTCAGCCTTAATGTTAAGGAGCAAGCAGACAGAGGTGATCCAGAATCTCTTTGCTGTTCTATTGTGCTTGCTGGTGCAGCAGATTCAGAAGATAGTGGGGAATATTTCAACCCTATTAGTATTTGAATGTTTAGCTACAGTGATCTTAGATCTGTCTAAAAACACACTGAAAGGATATTGGAGAGTGAAGAGACAAGAAAAAAGAAAACGAGACAGAGAAAAACAACAAAAAAAGAAAAAAAAATCAAAAA